GACTAACTCGGGATGCTACTCAAACTCATCATCTTGAAAATCCGTTTATCTTTAAACTTTTGTCTAATACTTCTTTAGACATAAATAAAACAGATTTCCTTTAAACTTGCAATTAAAATACCATAATCATATTTCTCATAATGGTAAAAACTTGAAATCTAAAATTCATTAAAATGCAAGTTCAATACTTAATGTGCATAGCGGAAATACTTGAAAACGTGGTTAATTATACAGACTGTTATAAATGTCCTTATCAAAGCTTGTCTTCTTCTGAGTCCACGATCCACACCAACACTGCTCCACTCACACCTCCTCTTCGACCTGTTACCTGAAACTAAAACTCATAGGGGTGAGTAACGAATATAGATAATCATAAACCGATCTTAATCGGTAACTTAAACTTTTATCTTCTCTTGCCGATAGTTAATCGGATACGTGTGCACACTCTGATGGATATTTCTTAGGCAACTTGGCGGCCTCCATCAGAACTTAGGATATAATCTCTGAGAACAAATTAATGCCTCCTCATCCCAAGCGTAATAAACTTAAACTTTAGGATATACTCTGAGACAACTGATGGTCTCCTCATCCCATATGATATCAATATCGTACTCAATGTGATACCCGTTCAGGGTCCCCACCTTTTTGTCTTTGAAAGCATTTGAAAAACGATAAGTGCAGTACTGGTAATGGTATCTGCAAGTTACATCAAATATAAACAAATATACCAAGTACTATGCTCGTATACTGAATAAGATTCTTAGAATTATTAACTTATCCAAATCTTATAGAAATTCATTAAACTTGCTTTTTCTCAAGTTTATACTTAACTTCTCTTCTTACTTTTACTTAAAGTCAATTACTTAACCTTATATAAATCATGTCTTCATAAACATCAATATGGTATTATACTTAGCATGTCATAACTCAAATGTAAAAATAACTATATTTCACATTATACTTGATTGAGTATTTAAACTTAAAACATGCTTACTTTTACCAACATCATCAACATGATTTATAACTTATCTTAATTTAACTTGATCAAATACTTAATTCATCATACATCATATCTCCCAATTTTTAGATATTGGCTTATACTAAATTTTCACTTAATTAACTTGAAAGTGAAAATAATCTCAAGCCATAATCATCTTTTAATCATAACATTTAATCATGATGTTAATATGTCATACTTAATACAATCTTTATGAAATTGTACACTCAACATATTATACCAAAACTTCATCAAATTACTCATCACTTATATGAGAATTATTCATGATCATCTCATTTTAACAACTTAAACATTTCATGAATATTTTTGCATATATACTTATCTTTACATATATGCTTTCTTATATTCATAACTTATTCATTTCTCATCTTTAAATTATGAAACTTAACAATCATAATCTAAACTTATATTTAGACATGTCATAAAAATTTCATAATTTTATCATGCATATATCTCGACTTATTCAAGTTTAAAGTTGCTGCTTAAAATAGTCCCAAAAACTCGATTTGCATATCTAACTTTAAAAACTTGTATCTCGAGTTATACTCAAGCAAATGACATAATTCTTTCACCTATATGCTCAGCACTTACACAAGAAATATCCATGTGAAACTAAGTTCTTCAGGTTACACGTAACATGCTCAAAATAGAATTAAAATAGAACATGTATGACATGCAGATGAGCCAACTTATCTTCAAATATGCTCATAATTACTAAAAAAAAAAAACTGAACATCTTAGGTATAAAAATAGTACTATATCTTAGCTAGAAAGTAGGCCTAAAAAAATAGCGCCTTACTTTCTTCAAAGACTCTAAAATGAAATAAGAGAAAAGGGTGCTCGATTTCCTTGAACTCAGTTGAAGATGGCTTCAATTTTATTTTATCTTTTTAGCCTTCTCGGTTTCTCTCATTTATTCTAAGAATAGAGTATTATAAGAACTTAATCTGATTTAATAGAAGTTAAATCCATCATCTATCTACTGGTATAATATATATATACGAATGAAAAGGTTGGAAACGATAAGATAGACTTAAGCTTCATTTTGGACCAAATGTCCCATTAGGTGGCATAATGAAAAAATTAATCACCTACTTAAGGGTCCACTTCTTAAACCATCCTTCATGCTATTAAAGTGATGACCACAAGATGACTAAGAAATCAATTAATGAAACTAAAGTTTGATAGAAAAATATGGCGTAAATGCATTGAACACGAAATTGTCTCACTCACTCACATTTGTATAACCGGCTGAAGTGGTGGTGATAGATTAAAAATTCATATATATAGTGGACACATGTCCATTAAGTAGAAAATTCTAAGCCTAGTCATCTAATAATGTCATTAAAATGAACCTCATCCAAAATAATTGGTTTGACTGCAACTTGCATTACATACTATTAAATGACAAAATAAGTCACTCTCTCAAAAATAAAACAAAACACGTAATTGACTTTAGAAATAGGCTCAAAATTTTAGACTTAACCAATGCTTTGGACTCGGCATTTTAATTTCGGCTAATACCATAATTGATTTGAAAAAATACGGTTGAATAAATTTGCTTTCCTTGATTAAAAAATGACCCCATCTTTATTTAAAACTTTAGAAACCATTTTGGTTACAAATATAATATTCCCTCATTAATAACCATGGCTATGCTTACTCAAATTACAAAAGTGATGTGTTCTTGCTGAAAAACTTTCCATTAAGATTGATAATGGCCCCATTATACTCTTATAATAACATAGGAAAAACTTTTGTATAAAATGATGACATAAATAGCCTCGGCCTTATCTCTCAAATTATTGAACATATACCAGACTTATGCTAAAAAAATAATAATAACTAATCACCTTGGATATACTAACATACATGTATAATAATAACTCACATAATATCACATATAAGCACATCATTCACATAATAGCTTTTGAATTTAAATAGATAAAATGCCTAAATAAATTCATTCTCTTAAATGATTAAATTAAACCCTCGTGTCTAATTAATCAGAAAACTTGTCGAATAACTGGAAATAATTAATCCCTATTATTAAAGTCCATTTCTAAAAATAAACGGACTGGAATTAATTAATGAACTTGCTCGATTACTGAATAAAATTTAACCGAGAATACTTTCGACTTAAAGTCGAACTTATAACTGAATAACTTAATAACTGGCTCGGAACTAGAAACGAGCATTATTAATAAAAGTAATTAGTTCATACTTAGAATAATTACTGAATGGGATATTACATATATACTAGTAGGGTTATGCCGTGCACGCACGACGGACTCAAAATTAGCCTAGAAATACAGTGAAATTTTGTCATTAGTTGCATTGATCAGTTGAATTCTTGTTGAATCTTAATATTGGATGATAACTAAATAAGCTTTCACTATAATGACCTCATAATACAACTTTCTAGGCAATTGTTGCACTTCAGTTGTTGCAGCTCGTACAAATATTATGCCTGGTAAGTTAACATTGTTTGAAATGTTACCAATTGAGAAGATCCAGTTGCGTCTTTTTTTACATAAAATTGCTGGAATTGTTCCAATTCAAAGTAACGTTGCATATGCCATTGGAACCCAATGTCTGTTTGGGACTCAATTCTTGTTGTATCAAGGAAGATAAGTAGCTAAATATAATAGCATAATCACAGCACAAAATCAACCAAATTTTATAAATTAAAGTTCGCATAATCAATCAAACTAAAACACCCCAAACAAGTATTAAAGAACGTCAGATTCAATCGACCCCCCATTGCCATCCAAAACATTTGCAGTAAAAAAAAGAGACTGGGATCAGATTCAGCCAAAATCATAGCACACATCATGAACAAATTTCATGTTCCCGTCGAAGAAAAAAAAACCCTTAGTTGCCCAGCCCCATGTCATAAATCCAACATATTACATAAAAGTCGAAGCTTTCCCACAACAAACGACAAGGAAAGGAAAAAGAGAACGTGGTTCTTATCAACCCAATTGGATTCTTAACACAACACACTTCAAAAGAGTGAATTGAACAAAAAAATGTTCTTGCAAAGGAAAAAAAAAAGAAATCAGATTCAGACACCAAGAAAAGCAAATAGAACACGGGGAGAAAGGAAAATATTCAAAAGAAGCAAATGCAGCCGCACAAAAGAAATCTCTGATAGGAAAATATTAGATCATGAACTAAACCTTGGAAAGAAATCCAGATTCATATAGTCCCTACAGCAGAAAGAAAAAGAAAAAAAATCTTAAACGCATAAATTTTTCTTACCTCCTTAACAAACCACGGAAATGACACCAGAGAAAATTTTCGCTTAAATTGTTCATAATAATATGCATATGGAATCTACTTTATCCATCTGACAAGGTACCAAGAAACCGATTGAGGACTGTAATGGTGGAGTGGAAGCCCGAATTATGCGGTTGAGTAGCAGAGTCTATGGGCCCACCATCAGGCGAAGGCAAATTCGTCCTGCCTCCATCAGCTCCAGGTTAAAATTTATACATTGAAGCAGCCAGTGGAGGTAACACAACAAACAACTCGCCTATTACTTTCCCAGGCCGGCTACCCTCAAGGTGCGCGCAGGCCCACCTCAAGGTCGAGGAGGAACTCCGGGCAACTGATTCCTTTGCTTTGGCAATATGACAAAAGTGTGGTCCTTCCTATTGAGCTTACAACACTACCGGTCCCGAGGATTGAAGAACCTTGCATTCCTGCAGAAAATAGGTGAAAATGTAAAAGATAAGATAACAAACAAAACTTGTATTGGAGTTCATTGCACCTAAAACCATGGTACAACAATTGATTTACGGTAACAATACATCACTCGAGGGTGGAAATATATTGCTATATTGAAAGAAATAAAGAAAATAATGCTTCAGCGTCTCCACATCAAAATGCTTCTCCAAATATAAAATCTCAATTGACACCCACATAGAAGATCACAAAGACAACAATATTCACAAACAACTATCTCAAAATGCAATTCACACTTGGCCTGATGACTTTCCTTACCATGACCAGGCAATGCTAAATCACACTCTTCAACCAAAAAAAGGCAAGGCAACAACATGAAGATAAGTGAGATAGAATGAACAATAAACGGTTAAAAAAGCTACCCCGATCAGGGCCACTGAGAAGACCAAGCCCTACAACATTGGTAACAACTGCAACAAGCTGAGGGCCAAATATATCGGGCCCTAATGACGCCTGAACTATGCCATACTCAAATCCCAAAATTCCTCTCCAACCCATCTCTCTATGTCTCTCTCATAGAAAAAACCAAATCTTTAGCAGCATATATAATTATATACTTCCAAAAAGCATCAGGAAAAAAATTTGAAATTCGGGCTTTGGGACAGGTCAAATAGAAATGAAATTTGAATATCCTCTTTCTCCTGATTCGAAATCATTACAGTGAGCCATGGTGTAGGCCTGATGACGTATGTTGCCATTTTCGCCATTGGCAGCCACTAGTACAGAATAAGTTGGTGCTAATTTATTGGAGCTCATAAGTTCTTATAGAGTATGTTTATACATCCTTCTACTACCCTCATCTGAAAAATATTGAGTTGCAAGCTTAAAGGCTGTTAAAAGTCTTGTAAGAGATGTGTTTGAGGACCCTATAAATGTACTTAGGTTAATCTTGGAAGCAGTATAGAAAATCGTCCAGTATCTAAAATGTGTGAATAGAGAATCTCATAAACATAATTACAGCAAAACTAACAAGAACATATTCACAGGAAAGGTAAATTGTTAAAGGAAAACACTAATACTGTCATAACGACAAAAATGAGGTAAAGTTTAGCTAGAGCACTTAATAGCAATACAACGTCGTTTGTTAATTTTTGCCAATTGACACTATTTAAACAAAAGTAAATGAAAAAACAAAGGAAAAGAGAATATCACAACTGCTCATCAACAAGTGGAAAATCTGTAGGAAGCTGCAGTTTTCCTGGGAGTTATCTACAACATCAATGGTGGAAACACAAGATATGTCAGACTAACTTAAGAAGCAGCACAAAAGATTAAGTGAAAAATAAAGATCAGCTTCTAATGTGTTACTTACAATCGCAGTTGATTATCCTAGTATAACCTTTAACAAGCAACATAATCCATGCTATAACTTGAATTGCTATTTAAGCTGATGAAGCATTAAACCCAAAATTTTTAATGCCCATCAGTGCACATATGCAACAAATCTTACAGGTTATCTTATTGCTTGAAGAAGTACCATAGCAAAGCTAGTTGATGCCAGCTTGTTAGTAATAAAATAGCAAACTTACTCAGATCATATCGCTCGCATTTTTAGCTTTTCATCATTTCGGCCTGCGACTGGAGAATTGGTGTTCTTCATCTGCATCTTGAACCCTTAATAATGTCCATTATCAAAGCCAGTCACTTGTTTGGATTAGCATACCAAAATAATAATAAAAAAATGTAATCTTTGCAACAATAGAAGTCTGAAAGCCTGTAACAGGATAATGAATTCATAGAAGATACCTACAAATCATAATCGAAGCTCAGTCTTGAAAAGCAATATAACGAAGTAGACAATAAAAAATGCATATTTCTGTGCACTCCAGATGAAAGAACAAAGGATATATTAGCTGGAAGTATTGGCCAGCAAATTTCTCTCAGCCACGCTCCTACATGGAATGAAGCTTTGTATGCATATGCAGACAACAACAAATCTGAAATTTGTAACCAAAAAATGAAGGGAAAAATTTATTAAAAATGGTGAAAGAGAGACAAATATACGCACTTGAGTATATCTAAAAGTAGAATTAGGCGCAGAGAAAAGAGGAAGGGGAGACGGAGTTCAAGGTATTACCGGACAACATCCCGCTGTGCGTCAACTGCGGGGTCGCAAAATCACGCCTCCGCCACCCCCAGGATCCTGTGTGTCAGAAATGCTTCAATTCGGCGAAGAGCCGCGCCGCCGCCGTGGATAGATCCTTTAGATCCAGTCCTCGCTCGCGAGGTTTTCGATGGAGGGGAGGTCGGATTTTCCCCCGGTGAGCGGAGATCAGGAGAAGGAGGCGTCGGTTGAGTCTGCAGCCTAGGGCTTCGAGAGGCGGTTTGCGCCTACACTTACGAAGGGCGTGGTGGAAGAGAGGGTTCATCACCCGCGTTTAACTCTCATTCAGAGGATATGAGAATTGAGGAGAGAAAATGAAGGGCAGCATTTGTTTTGTGTCTGAAATCGTGGTGGGATATGATGCTTGCGTGTTTGACGAAAGCTTGTACGTGAAAAAAAATACAGAAACGTGACAGCCGAAAAACCAGGCCAAAGTAGAAAGTAAAAAGGCGTCTCTGCAAAAGTTAGAGAGTAAGTTACGGAAAAAACACAAAGAAATTTCTTGGGACACAACAAAAACAAAGGTAAATAAGGCATAAAAAATGCCCCAACAGAAAACGTCCATAAGGAACGGAAAAACAAAGGTGAACCCAATGGCATAAAAGTAATAAAGTGTGAAATCGTGGACACGTGTCGACCAGCGAAAGTGTCAAAAATGGACACTTGTCAACACCACAAACGGCCTCACTCCTTCATATATAGATAAGAGAGATATAGTAGTGAGAGGGAGTTAGGTGTGGTAGGATTTTGGGCTTGGGCTTACAAATAGAAATGCTACTTGGGCTTAGAATTAAAACACTACTTGGGCCGAATAAATACAACGGTGGGTTTCTCGATTTATGATTTGGGCTTGATTTAAAATCGAATATGGCTAGATAAAATATAACAGGACTAGGACTAAAAATAATTGCTCGGGCCACATAGATAAAACTGATGGGCTCGATTATTGGGCTCGAATTATTGTGCCTACTCGATTGGGCCGATTTTTGAATATCGGAAAATTAACGGGTCGTGTCTAATGGGCTCGAAATATAAATTGACGGCTCGATAAAATGGGCCCAGAAAATTGGGCTCGACTTAAATAAAATTTCGATTTCTCCAAAGCTTGGTTTCATTTTAAAAATAAAACCGATATTCGGGCTAACTAAATTCGATTAAAAATCGAATAAATTCTCCATGGCTTAGACTTAAAACGTAAGACTCAAATTAATGCAAACAATGATAAATAAATGCATCAAATAAGGAAGTTTGCTATTTATGGAAATAAAGTCGAGCTCCATAAATACTAAAAGTATTGGGGGCGTTACACATATAGCCATTAAGTTGTTTGGTTTAGAGTTAAAAATTAGAGAATAACTACAGTTCCGTCATGGATCAGTGTTTTTAACCGTTAGATCCACGTGTATATTAGTGTGGTGTAGATAATCTACGATTAAAAATACAGACAAACTGATTCCGTAATGGGACTGTAGTCTTTCCCTGAGAATTATATAATTTAGGTTGACATTATTTTTCTGTCCTTCATTTAGAATTAAATTTTCAAAGTTTACCCACGAATTGAGGAAGTCGGCCGATCCGATGTAGAAAGCTTAATTGAAAAGAAAAGAAGAAAGCTCAATCTATAGGAAAACCTTTATCCATCACGAGCATTCCCCCACCGCCTCCCTCTATCACCACTACGTATTCAAAATCGGCAGATCCAAAATTATTATTTTTCATATTGAGAAAATCGGACAGTGTTGGGGTGATGTACGGCAGGTTATAACCCGTCCTGTATGCAGTCGCTCAGCGAGGATGAAAACGTGAGCCCGAATCCTGGTGACAACAACAACAACAACAGGTGGGGCAGCGACGAGCAGAGGCGGCCTGGCTATATATGGTTGGTATGGTCGACATAACTCAGAATCCACCAGATCCGAGGGCTTTGGTGTTGTTGCATTATGGAAGAATGGAAGGCAAAAAGGCACAAAGAAGAGGAAGAAGGGAACTAAGGTTATTTTTATAAATTTAAATGACAAATAGAGTTCGAATACACATCCCACTTCATAGGTAAGATATCTAATACTAAAAGTTGTTAATAATTGACCGGACCATTCCATTTTTACGAGCTTGCACTGCCCGAACCAAACATCTTTATAGGCATGAAATAATAACGATGGCTCGGATATCCAGCCCAATCCAGCCAACCAATCGGGCCCTAAGAGAATATGCACTTAAGTGCTTAAGTGCAAAATTTGTTTCCGAACTTATTAGAACAAATAAAACAAAACTATTTTTTTTCCAACCTAACTATGAAAAATTTGAAACTTCGACTACCAAACTATGAATTTGGGAACTTGAATGAATATTGATATAACCCGCTATATCAGCTTGGTTATAATAAATAGCATCTTGAAAATGGTCGTCAGATTAAGATTTCCAGCTCAAGTCAGGGGTCCGTGGATGATCTGACCATATTTGAGTTGGAGTGGCGTCCTTATTACCAATTTGAGCGAGGGTTCATGGATGACTTGGCTATGCTAGAACTGGCGAGGTCTAGGTTATTAGCTCAAGCTAGGGCCAGAGGATGGTCCGACCATACCCGAGCTGGAGAGGATTTTAGAGATATGGTTTGAAGGGTCTATACAGACTTGTGTTATAGAAAATTATTATTTCTATTGAGTAGGAAACAAATCCCGATCTCGGGTCGATCTCTCGAGAAAGGCGGTTTGGAGTTTAGAATTGATGTTGATATACACACGAAAAAATATCATATACATTAGAATTGAAGGTTTGAAGAGATTATCTAAAAACTACTATGAATTTTTAAAAGCAATTGAATAAATATAAAAGAAATGAGAAATAGATGAACTAGGGAGTTGGAGATAATCGTTTCGAATTCTAGATGAAAATACCAAGAACTTATTTGTTCGCTTAAGTGATTCGGCAAGCCTACATGTCTTGACATTTATCCTCAATAACTATCCGTAACAAGAGAACAAACACACAAGACACGTTTGTCAAATCAACTATTCGATGTTAGAACAAATAACTCCACCCTTCCGATTCTAAAAGTTACGTAGCTAGATTTAATAGTGTTTAGTATGCATCTAGATTTAACGGTGTTCAATCGACTAAACATTAAAATTCAAACAACTTGCACAAGTTGAACAGTTCAATAGCTAGATACTCACAAAGAACAAAAACGATTATCCCATATCCCTAGGTGGATGAATTAACTCATGTTTTGATTGAATTCCATTTTAATCGAAATTGAGAACTCGCAACAATAATAATATAGAAACTAAAACATACAATAATGAGAGAGATTACAAGAGTATGCTCCCAACGTATTCGACTTTAATAATTTGAGCACAAGCAAAAAGCAAAAATGGAGAAAATCCTAACAGAAAAC